AAAAAAAAAAAAAAAAAAAAAAAAACTTTACAAACCAAGATCATAATAGCTTACTAATAGAGTGAATTCTAACTATACTGACCTCAAGCAAAACATCTGGATGAATATTAAAGACATTAGGTAAAAGAAGTTAATTTAGGTTAAGACTGAACTATCAAGAAAATTTCATGTTTTATGGTGCAACTCAGCAAGTATGTATATAAAAGCAGCCTGTAAGCATACAAGCATACACATGGTATCTGACTGTTTGAGAGAATATGCTGCTGAGAATCACCTCACCAAAATCGCCAATACTAATTAGTTAAAAGTTATTTACCAACACACACTTCTGCCATTCTATTATCTATTTTATATTAATTTGCACATGCTAGTATGATACGCATACCTAAAAAAATGATGCACGTGAAAAGTCAACTAACAATTAATAAATGAACAGCTCAGAGAAACATGAAAATACCTTCAGTTTTAGCAGAACTGTAAGCAAATAATAATACTATAATCTCACTAACTATGAGGACTATATAGCTTAAAAAACACCTGTTAATATATTTTAAAGCATATTTAAATAAGGATCCATGGAAAATGCCAAGATGGAAAGTCAACAGTATGGACACCTCAAATTTCTATTCCTCATGTTCTGCAAGTTATTTACATGCTTGTGGACTTTGCTGGTTTAGTAGAGAGATGCATAAAATATGAACAGATATGCCTACATAAAACCCCTAGAATTGGTGTTAAGGTTAAGAATTTATTATTCATTAACGGCATTAAACTTAAAAAAAAAAAACACAAAAGCACTAACTCTCCCCTCTAAGAATGTCTTTGAGGCTGTAGGTTAAACAAAAGCAAAAAAAAAAAAATAAAGACAAAACAGAAGATACTGTCCCACTTTAAAATACCACTTTAAAAAATAAAAATAGCACACACACACAAAACTTAAAAAAAATAGATTATCAGGGATCATGCTATAATTACAGACATTAGTATAGATCACAGTATAATTAGAGACAAACTTTAAGACAATATGTACGTAAATTATGCTTGTAGCAGTTTCTTCAATGATAATGTTTCTATACTATATAGAAGCAGCACCTTTAAATAATCAGTTTAATTTAAAGCAGTCCTGCAAAGGATTCATTCACTTACTTGTATCCAGCTGTTGGCCTTCAATTCCACAGGGTTCTGTGGTTCACTGCTGTACAGACAACATAAGCACCACATCAGAATCTTCTGGCTTTCATCTATAGAAAAGAAAAGAAGTAAATATGGATACACTTAGGAAAAAAAAAAAATCAAAACACAGACAGAATTATGCACAACAATCATTATCCATCCACAAAACCAAAGGGCTAAATATCTGTCTCAAGCCATAATGCCTCTACTCTACTAGAATCACACTACACATTTAATAATACTTATAAATAGCTCTTTTATAATAATTTCCTTGAATATCAATTTAAAACTTATCAAAGAGTTTAAAATCTATACAATATTAAGACATTCTTAAGAAAGATAAACAACTTGGCATGTTATTTACATAAGAAACCCTTGAAGCTATCTTTAAAGAATTTTATTTAAGTATCCAATAGCAACATTTATAATAAACAATAGCTAGTACAGTAATTGTTCAGTACTGCTAACTTCATGCACAACGTAAGAGCATTGCTTCTACAAGACTTCTGGATGCATGAAATAATTCAAAGCAAGAATGTAAACATGATACTTTTTGTGAAAAAAAAAAATTTCTTCAGGAGACTGCTTCAGCTTCAGCAAACTGACATTTCTGCAGACAGCAGAATACCCGAATACCAAGAGGACAAAAAAAAAAAAAAAAAAAAAAACCTCGTGGTCTTGAAATCCTGTTTATGATCTGATCAGGTACATACATGATTCTAGCTGCTACCACCAACACAAAGCCATCTCTAAGAACCTACTATGCTTAATATACATATTGGTATTGTTCAGATGCACAAATACTACAGAAAGGCTGGGTATTTGGAATAGGCAGTTGAAAAATCATTTAATTCATAACTGTTTCCCGTAACTTCACTTTCATTTGTTTTTTATTTAAAATTAAGATGTTCTTTGGCAGAAAAAAACTAAGATGAATTTCATTCCAGAATAAGATTGTGTTGTAATACATGTTATAAAATACACAAGTACTATTGTAGTTTTGCTATAATATTCACCTACTTAGTGCTACTATGTTTAATAACAATACAAACAAGTATTGTCACATGAATTTTGGAAATGACATTAAGAGATAATCTGAACAGAATAGAGATAAAGTTGTTTCTGCTGTTTTCTTTGTATTTGTTATAGAGGAGGTAATAAGCTGTATTATGTGCAAGTGCTGTGTTTGCAAAACCTGAAGAAAAGCTACAGGCTCCACTAAGCAATGCCTGTATTTTCACCAGGTGATCAGAGATGTTAAGATTGATTTAAACCAGTATTCCTCATAAATGTCTAACAAGCCTGTAGGCCATCAGTGGCCTCCCACTGACTAACATCTCTGCACAGAACTCGTTGATCAAACATGCACATCTAACTAACTGCAGTTCGGGTTTTTTTGTTTGTTTGTTTTTAAGCATAGGTTTTTATGAGGCTAACAGTTTCCTAGGTTAAGGTCAAAAGACCCATCTTTCAGAAATTTGAGGTATCCATACTCACTGGGTTGCAATCGTATCTAGTCCAGATATCAGCACTAAAAGTCAACTTTATTGTCTTCAAAACTCTTTTATCTAGACCAACTCAGAAATAAAACTACATGGGAGGTAAAAATAATGATTTACTGTCCAACGAGATCAATAATAATCATCTGCTTCTTGGGGAAAAAAAAAGTTTAAAATATATCAGATTTTTTTTCAATACCAGTAATTGAAAATCTCTCCAGAGCCCGACTTTGTTAATAGGAAAAAAAGAAAAAAGAAGTCAAAACATGAAGGCAAATAAACAGGAAAAAAAAAAAGGCCAAACCACTTCCTGTCTGAAACAAATCTAGTTCAGGTGTCTCCTGTTCTACTCTTGCCTCACCCTACTTGTAGCTGTGTATCTACACTAACCCATACAGTTATTTAAGTTAGGGTTTGTCAGCAACAAAAACAAAGCAAAACAAAACAAAAACCTCTCTCAAGGAAGCATACACTTAGCTTAATTAGGACTTACGGGTGAAGGATGGTGTGTGTGTGTGTGTGTGTGTGTGTGTGTGTGTCTCAAGAAGTCATCTGGCATATTTCAATACAATGTAAAATAAAATGATGAATGACGAAAGAGTGCCAATACAAGGCGCTTACGCAGATTTAGTTAGATATATTTTTAAGTAGCTCGAGTTTTGAATGTACTGCGTCAGGCAAGGCCTACAGTTTCTTCAAAACTGAGAGCGTCTACAGATGAATACTCTTCGCAGTGAAAATTTGAGGGCAAGACATAACTGAAAGCCCTGCAGTCTCATCTAGTCAAAAGAAGTCCTCTTGCTAAGTGCCTCTTGCTCTGGGTGCCATTCTCACGTTCATTGTCATTTTTTTTGCAGCTATCCTAAGACTGGGAGATAAGGCATAGGAGATAGGTCTTTTAAAGAAATTTATGGCAACTGCAAAAGATTATCCCAACAAAAGACCTAACACAGAGAACTATGGAAACATCAGCAGTCATTTTTTCCCCCCTCTTGTTTTTTCATATTGTGATCATCACGAAAAATCTACCATCCTGATATGAATAGAGAGCCATTATCAGGATATGAACTAAGACATTCAATCCTACTATAGTTTGGAAGAATGCTTGCTCTGTCTGAAAACACCAAATGTGCACATCCAGAGGAACAAAATAAGCCAACTTAATGGTAGAATTAATATAAAAGAAAAATCTCAGTAACTTCCTGAAGTAAGTTAAAGTTGGAGCTTCAGCTAAAGGAATGCTGGGTTTTTTACCCCTGCAAGAAACTGTTTTTTAAAATATTTTTATTATGAAATATATAGCAACCTTTTCCCAATAGAATTCCAGTATGAATAAATAAATACATAAATAAATAAAGAGAAGGGCTGGTTATTTCTTTTCTATAACAGAGTGTGTTCTGGATCATCCTATGACTCAGTCCATTTATAAATAACCTGTCATGAATTGGACCAGAGGCCAGGAACTAATGAGAAGGCTCCTATTTTGAAATAATTTTTTTGCACTTTTCAAAAATTTTCAGAGAAAAAAATATATCCAAGAACATGGATTTGCTAAAATTGAAGTCTTTTATAGAAATGAATACACACATAAGCATACACATGTACTATATGCAGATACTGATATATAGAGCCATCAGAGAACTCCCTGGCATTTATAGCATTAGTCTGTGATTCAAGGTATTTGGGCTCAAAATGCAAATAGGGAAAGGCTTACCAAGATGATAAGCCCTGAAGCTCAAAGAAAAAAAAATGACTACTGAAAACTACTTCTTCATATATCCCCAGTGGCCTAGGGCCAAAAATACAACCACAAGATTTTGTTTGGTTCTGCTTCCCTCAGATTAGCCTTCTAAATAAGGCCGACTTGGTCACCTCCTGCTCAAGAGTGTTTATGGGGAGATTATTTTCCCTTGGAGACCATGCTTCCTGCATTGACGGGCTATGTCAGCTCTCAGCACCAACAGACATATGTCTGAATTGATAGGTATTGTGGTCTGGACATGAAGCAGAAGTATAATGTTTTTTTTCCCCCCTCTTCCATTTATTACTATGAAAGGCTGAATTGAACAAAATCAGCTCCTTGCACTGCAAGAGCAGCCTGGTCTCAAATTTATGCCTTGAAGAGTTACTTTTCCAAATGAGAAATTATGTGAAACCCACTTGAGATTCAACATCTGCTATAGCCAACATTATCTTAAAGAATATCTTCAGAACTAACGCCAAATAAAATGGAAGTTGGCTGAATTTAAAATGCCAGCTGTCCAAAGAGAACTCAGGTGGCTCTAAAAAGAGTAAGTGTTGGGAATATATAAGCAGACATCTTCATGTCTACTGGCCTCAGGAAATCTCCGTGACCTCTCCTTAAGCATTAAAGTGAAGGATCCAATATGATGGAAGCGAAGTTTTCCAAATGGCTCGGTTGCCGCTCTGAGGCAACTCCTCCTCACAAACCAAACCAACCCACTCCACACAACATGAAAGCAAAAATCCATTCTTCAGAAGTAATGAGCTTGTAAGAAAAGTGCTCATTTTGCTTTGAAAAATACTGAAGGATGAAAGAAGAGAAGAGAAGAGAAGAGAAGAGAAGAGAAGAGAAGAGAAGAGAAGAGAAGAGAAGAGAAGAGAAGAGAAGAGAAGAGAAGAGAAGAGAAGNAGAGAAGAGAAGAGAAGAGAAGAGAAGAGAAGAGAAGAGAAGAGAAGAGAAGAGAAGAGAAGAGAAGAGAAGAGAAGAGAAGAGAAGAGAAGAGAGGACCATGCATGTGATTTATAAACATTAACAACTATGGATATTCTCAAAATTGGAACTGTGATTAGGAGGAGAACTTCTCCATTACAAGAGAGTGGTTTTCCCTCTAACAAAGACAACCAAAGATAAGAAACACTTCTATTTTTTCCAGAAAGCGTCATAAGAGCACAGATTTGCTGCTTAGCAAAAGTCAGCTATGTTTGAAGTTATGGTTCCTTCCCAAATTTACTTTACAAATGGAAATGCTGACATAATGTATGTCAGCCATGTGTTTCACAGACACCTTCATTCTGTCTGTTCTTGGCACTGACGGCAAGATAATAAATACAAACCAGAAGACACATAATCACTTGAGTCTAATGCAGTGCTTGACCTAATAAGCCATTCCAGGAGACCACAAAAGTAGACTTTTCCTGTATTTTCACAAAAAGAAGCATGAACCCTAAGAGAGTGAGTGCAAGGGTTTTTTTTTTTTCCAATTCTAACAGAATATTGACAAAAGAGTATTTTAAAAAAGCAGATAGTTTTAAGAAGGCTGAAGGAGTAACTTAAAATTAGTTTTGCTCTAGCAGTAGATCTAGAATAATTTATTTATGTCTCAGTCACTGCCTGAGGTACTGAATTGCTGATGATGAGAGCACAGGCACAGGAAGGGTGTGCTACTTCCCACTACTTTTCTTCTCTCTTCTTTAGAAATTGTTCCAGAAAGATCATTACAAGTTCTCACCATATCCTATAACAAAAGGATTCCAACAGAGTCTTCCTAGAAGCTGGCCAATTAAAGGGAATTGCTGGATTGCCACAACTGAATTCTGTAAAATAAATAAATAAATAAAACAGAATAAACATATTGTGTTTCAAAAGCAGGTTAGGAGCACTGCTAATGATACAGCTTGTTGCAAATTACAGTCTCAACGATTTTGCTAAGAAACTAGAAAAAACTCTTAGCAAAACTCGCTGAAGTCAGCCATAATGTTCAAAACAATTAAAGCTTAAACAACTAGTTTCCTCATCTTAATTTTATGGTAAAAGAAAAATCCCCTCAAAGACTCAGAAAAGTTTATTTGCAAACAGAAATATATGCTAACAAAAGCATAATTTTGTTTTCCCTCATTGCTTTAATATTCTGTGTCACAGAGTTTCTGTAGACATCAATACATAATACAGCATAAAACTAAGCATCTTCCTGTTGCTTTTGATGGTTTCTTTAAACTAAATGACATAGTGACTAGTCAGCAACAAACTGTCATTTAACTTGTAACAAAATAGAAAGCAGCTTCACTATAAAAGTACTAGGCAGTATAGTTATATACAACCCTGTGTAATCAGTCTTACTTTTCCATTTTTGTAGCTTTACTAACTAATAAATGAAGGCTTTTAAAAATGTACTGTGCTGAGATAATGTGCAAGTAGCAAGAATGATAACCATCTCCTGCTGCTGCAATAAATTCCTTAGATTCGTCTCACATTTGGGGCTAGTCCTAGACTTTCTGGGGCCATAGACACAAGGTCCATCTCAGGTCAAGCCTCAGATTATTATAAATAGCAATATTAATAATATAAATAAATAATGAAAAAATATATACATAGTATAAATATATATGTATCTTTTCCTTCAGATACATACACACAAAGGGTGAAATACCACTACTCAAAGAACTTTTACTTGAAAAACTAGATTAAAAAAAATTGAGGGTACACTAATATTTAAAAGAAATTACTTTCATAAACACTCACTTCATCATATATTACAGTATTTCTAAAAATAACTATCACTACCTATTGGTCCCCTGACCTATCCTTTTCAGCACATACATAAATAACAAAACTTAAAAAAAAAATCCAAAATACAGACAGTACAGGCAATAATTGAATTATTCAACAGCAGCAGCACATGCCAATGATCTGAGCACATTTCTAGAATTCACTGCATGTGAAGTCCATACACTGGACTTAGCATGTCAGCAGACCTCCTAAGATTTAAGGTATCAGTTAAAATTTTGCATGCTAAGATCTTTAAATAATCCAATTTATGACCTGACAACTAGAATCAAATTCTTGTTTATTTTAAAGAGGTTTTTAAAGAGGCTACAGGATTGGCTGGGAAGCCTCACATGACCATATAACCAATCAGGAGAAGAAACAACTCCTTTCACAATAAATCTGGGAAACAGGAGGCACATTCCCGTTTGCATTACCTGCATTGGCTGTTTCCCCAGTTTGTCCCTCCAATCCAGCAGTACAACAGGCCAACATCACAATCTTTTTTACTAGTTAGGTTTTTTTTTTTTTTTTGGGGAGAGGGTGGTTCAAAACATGGTTCAGAGTGTTTCTTCAAAACAGTGTCTTCAAAGTACTGCATTCTTTCTGTTAAATTACTTACCATATGTTTTAAAGTTTCATAAATCTGCTGTAGAAACTCCTGCAGCTGGGGCAAGTGACGGCACACATCCTTCTGGGATTCCAAAGTGGTGGCTTGTCCCCACTCAGTAGCCTTATCCAACCAGTACTTGAAGTCCAGTTTAGACACTGTCGTACCCTCGGCCATTCCAGTCCTAAAAAGATTGTAACTCCAAATCAGGTGCTATTTAAGCACAAACCTGAAATTAAGAAAGCGAGAGGGAGAAAGGGCTTCTGCTCATTTTTTATGCTCAGATAGAAAATGGAGAAGAAACAAAGGTCTTCTCCTTTGTGTTTACATTTTAACAGAATGTCTATTTTCTTTTTATTTATAGGAGAACAAAATTGTAACTCCACTATGACAAAGAAACAAAGGTGGCATAATGATTGCAAAAAATTACCTTAGAATATGCCACCCAGATGCGTCTCAGGCTTCTATTATCCAAATTTGTCATTACCAGTATTTTAACCAAAGAATACTAGAATAATGTGAGTGAAGCCAGACAGGTACACAGAAACACATAAATGTTTTCTTAAAATGGTTTCTTTGAAAGAATTCATTTTTGCAAAACAATTAGAATGTTTTGCATAATAGAAAGTTGAAAGCACCTGTTTCAATGTAAATAAAAGCATTAAAAGAAGATTCGGTTAAAAGATGCACAAAGGGCGGAGAGAAAGCCAGGAGCTGTTCTGACTAAACATCTTAAGAAATTTATTTAAGAAAAGTAAAGTAGAGGGGCACAGTAGAAGGGTACAGAACCACAGGGCAACAGGCTCTACATTATTCTTTCTGAAACAAATACCTTATGGGCTAAATGAACACTTCAGCCATTTATTTTTTTTTTCTGCCAAGATTCCAAGATGATTCTTGTTTACCGACAAATAAGGTGTCAGTTTCTAGAGTGTCATATTCAGAATTTAGCATAAGAAACTAAAATCAAATGAATTCAAAAATCAAATGAAATCAAATTATTTTCCTTCTGTAGCTTTTTGTAAGCTAAGGATATAAAGACATAGATTAAAAAAAATAAACCTCAACCTGAGCACTAACCCTGCAAGTCAAACGTGCTTTATAAAGCTCTTATTAACTCTTGACAATCATATCACTTAAATAACAGACTACTCCAAGACAGATAAGAATCTTTATACATTTTGTAATTGCAATATATAAGCGCATGCCTCAGTGAATAGCAGCTATTCTATGAGTTGGATCCTGCCCAATAACACTTAAACAGTAAGGTAAGGCAGTCAGCTGGCCAGAGTTCAAAGCAGGTTTGCTCTGAAAATGAGCAAAATAATGCAAGTAAAATCTGTGTTTTGTGCGTTCTTTACTATACTTTCATTTCTATTTGTACCTGTTGCTATCAGGGGAACTCTTAATGGATCTGTGCAGTGCCAAAACCCTTCTGATTTTCTAAGTATCCCTAAATTAGTAAGCATCTAAAATCAGCTATGAGACTTATATAATAGCTATGCCATTTGTCAGAGTGCTAATTACAGATGGATATTCAACCTACTAAGCTCATTATTATTACAGGGACATAGTAAAGAACTGAAGAACAAGTTATGTCCAGAAATTTGAATTACAGATCTAAGGAAATTAATGGCCCTATTTCTTGACCTCATATAAGCTTAATGTATTAACTACAAATAAGCATTCTAACAGCAGGGCCAAAATGGCTGGAGAAGAAAACAAAACCCCACAACAACACACACTAAACAAACACACACTGGAATATTTGGGGGCAGACACAGAGGAAACTGAAGACTGAACAAAGGACTCCCAGGTAAGCAGATCAAATGGGCTTTTCCCCTGTACAAAGCATGTATAATAACCCATTTTAACATGCACACTGGCACAACAATCATAGGGCAAGTAGAGTCTTTTTCCAGAATTCTGAAAACTCAGTTAAACGATAAGGGAGGTGTTTTATATTTCTTCATATTTACATATAAATAAACCTGTAAGTCCACAGCAGCTGCTTAGCAACTCCTTAGCTAGTCCACAGCTTAGGTGAAAAACTCTCAAAGACTGAGGCACACATTCTCACAAACCACAACAAAACACATTTAACCACAACAAAAAAATGAGAAACATCAGCACACAGTTTAAGAAATGTGTATATGTTGTATATGCTACTAATACTATTTCTTTGTTTTTGGTTTCTGATAGCCAATTCCCTCAAGACACCTGCTCTGGAATATCTTGGATATGAGCAAAGCACTATCTCATCTTCAGAGCACATTCTTGTCACATAAATGAAAGTTTATCATCAATACTGAACTTGCTCCTTTCAGATCATTTTCTGTATCTCATTCCCATTGCCTGTTTTGAGACACTATCAATTCCAATTCTTATAAAACATATGCTAAAATCAACAGAACAGTATATTAATGTAACATTTCTGAAAGTTGCTTGATCAAGGATATGTTTAATTTAAATGAACATAAATATTGTGCTGGATCACAGCCTTGCTTATGTCAGCCACACTAAAACAAAATATACCTCTTCAACTTGCAAAAGCACGGTTTTAAATTGTACTTTTTTATTTTGCTTTCTTCAGAAGCCTCCAAAAATAGCAATTTTCCTTTAGGTACTTAAACTACAGTATCCCATCCTAAAAACAAAAGAGAAATTTTATTAAGTTTAATTTAATCCTGTCTTTACAGGATTTATTTAATTGAATCCTGTCCACAGATTTATGCATCTGTAAATATATAAATATGTATTTATGTAAATGTTTGTATGTATATATGCATATGTTTATATGTTATGTAAATACATGAATATGTACAATTTACTTATGTATAAATAACATAATTAAAAAGAAAAAAGCCATGACATACCGAAGATGGCACACAGATTTAATCTCAAAAACTATTTCAGGACATAAAATTTATTATTAATAAAAGAATATAATGTAAACATTTAGATTTCAGTACAGTACACAGCATTTAAAAAGGTCTACAGAAACTGCATCACCTACATCACCTTTATCACCTAAAGTCCTAATTCGCACTGTGACCTCTCATAGTGTCAAGCTTTTCCAGACTCATTTCCACGTTCCCCAGGGAGCTGGGCCTCCTTTCGACTCAATCAAAACCCGCCTCTCGCACTTGACTAGCTGTGCGAGCAGGCGGGACAGGGGGCACAGCTGCCTTTCCTGCACCCTGCCCCACGCTGCCCGTCATTCCAGAGGAGCGAGGAGGAAGCCCTGCGGCTCCTCCTGTCAAACACGGCCGCTCCTACGCCGGGCACAGGGAACCCTGCGGAGCCCGGACCGGAGGGTATTTGTTACATCTTTCACAAGCTGAAGGCAGCATCTCTAGTAAGGAATGGATTAGCTTTATTCTGTCAAGTGAACTATCAGGATTAGTGTCTGAAACGTAACATTTCAGTCAGCAACTTTTGTCAGCACGTCATGAGGCAAAGCTCTACAGTACAGAGCACCTTTCACTTAGCAGCTACGTTCTCCCGAGCACAGTCTTCCACAAGAAACATTCCCACTTACTATTTCATGTACTGTAGAGAATTTAGAGAATGTCAAAGCAACATCAGTAACATTATGAGAAAGCTTTTCGCAACTATCTCCTTAGCTGGAGTCTGAAAATAAAGTAATAGGCCTTCTCTTTTACATTACTTCATCACTTTACATTCTGAATGAAGGGATTTTTCCTCTGTAAGCGTAAAGAGACAATCAATTTTAAGACTGACCACAAAAGACAACCTGGGAAAAGCAAAGAATCTTCTTCACAATTCCTAATCCTGAGACATAGACCCAGTAACAACAAAAAGGCATTCTCCTTAAAAAAAAATCTGTCACAGAAAATTCAGTTGAAAAAACGCTTTTACAGTTTTCAGCGTCCCCAAAACTACCTTTAATGGATTGCCAAAAGTGACGACTAAGTACTTACAAGAGTAAAGACAGGATGAGTAATAAATTCAGCTATAACATTTTAAAATAAATAGAAGCATTCTGAGTAGATGGATTTGAGATATCATTTAGGTACATTATTGCTTAATGTCATAACATCAAGGCTCCCTAATGTGACTAAAGCTCATAGTCAGGATATAAAATTCTCACTCATGTACTTCTCCTCGAATCTGTAAGTAGCTCCACTCTCCAAAGAACGCTTCATTTTCCATTACTCCATCTCCCCTCTCCAGTCATACCCATCTGCAACCCTAGCTTGCGAGAAAAGAAAACCAGTTAAAAGTATTTATACGACATCAGAGTCCAAAGGCCCCAGCCAGAATAGGTCCCCATTGAGCTAACAGACGTATAAAGACATTCCACGTTCCCAATGATTTTTAGGGTTGTTACGCTTATAAAAGTGGGAGAACTGTCCTTTCAGTGCACATTTTTTATTACTGCAATGGATATTAGGGGACTTTTAAGACCTCTCATATATTTTATAACTGAAAGATACCATGCTTTTGGACCCTTGGTTAATCATCAACGGAATTATGGTATAACATGGTGGATACCTTAATATATGAGTTTTTGAACTTCCAAATGTCCTTTTGGAGGATTTAAGGATGATGATAATCAAGCCATTGATTCACTACCAAATGGACGATAGTTACACCAAAACAGTAGCAATTACCCAGATTAAAGACACTATTTCTTATTTACTATTTTTTCTCCATAGAATATCTCATCTTTTTCCCCACAAATCTATTTTTCATCTTCACCTTGATAACTTTCCTTACACTTGCCAAGACATATTGAAGCATATATTTTAAGTATTAATAATTCTAACATTCTTAATTATCCACTTCAAGAATAACTAACCAACCCCAAAGAAATAAATTTTTAAAAAAATAGGGAAAAAATGAATAGTTTTTAAAATTTTCAGAATGGCTCAAGAGTAGTACAGATTAGAGACATTAAATATCTGTATTTATATTCCAGACTCCTGGTAGACCAGGACCCAAAATAAGCTAGAGATCAATTTCCATATTCCACATTTCCTGTCTATTCTGGACAGTGTAGTTATGTGCAAGGTTGATTATATAATTTATTAAATAAAATACTTACTTTTCAGGTAAGTGCAAGTTTGCCTTACGAACATCCTCACGGCTCTTACTGCACAAGTATGTCATAGAATCATAGAATCACAGAATGCCCAAGGTTGGAAGGGACCTCAGAGG